TAGTGACGACTCACTGTGGTCGTGGCCATGGCGTTTGGTCCCTCTTAGTGATGGTCAATTTGGTATGGATTTTTTAGTTAAGTTTCTCTGTTGCCTCAGCCTTGAAAATGGTGTGCAGAGGAAATTAGATACAACAGCTCATTATGTGAAGAACATGTTGACATTAGAGGCTGGGTCAGAATTGAAGACTTGGCAGCTTATAGCTACCATAATGAGTGCCCAAAAACATCTTGAAGATGATTGCATCGTGAACCCATGTTAGATCATGATCGGAAGTGGTCTCGGAACTAAAAATACTTTGTGTGCATAATATCTTTATCTTTTATTTCATATATACCAGATCAGTTTGATTATCATCACTAACTTTTTTTGCCACTAGCTAGGCTGTACATTCACACTAGGATAGTAGGATATATGATGTTCAGCCACACTCCAGCGTAAATTTTGGAGTTCAAATTTCAGTAGTAATCATATCTATGCAGCAGGTAACTTGGTTTTCCCCCTTGCATATTTCTTCTGTCAACGATTCCACCTTCAGGCCACATTTCTTTCTTATCGTTCTATTTGCACGAAACTAGGTGCAGTGCATATTATTGAATTTAATGGACTTTCAAGTTTGTTAAGAACATAGTTTGTTTTATGGTGCTTAGTAGAAAGGAATCCGGTTACATCCATATGACTCGTTCAGTGGCAAGTGTGTAGCCAGTAAGCATCTGCTGCCTAGAATTTCAAATGGTGTTGTTCTTCCTTCTGACAGTCATCCTATGCATCATGAAGGCTATTCACCGCCATGGATCAATACATCTTTCTTAAAATGGCGCACACATTGCAGATATATGATGTTGTAACAAAAGGATCATCATGAAGTTAAATGTTTTTTTTGTTGAGTTCATTCTTGATAGCATCACCTGCTCCCACGGATACATTAGTATTCTCCCATTGCAATGCATGGGCATTCATCTAGTATTTACTAATGAGTGGTCCTTCAGGAAAATAAAAGACTCTACCAATTGCATTAATCCTTCACAAAGCCAGAGTTGAAAGCCACTTCTTTTGCATTGACCTACGTGTATGTGCTGAAATGAAAGGAACAAACTAAAGTGCAGCTATTTAAATCTAAACTGAACCAAACAAACGAGTGGCAGGAAGACCTGAAGATTAACCTTTTGATAAAACATATATTTTTTAGGATTTGCAGTTAATTATGATCATTGAAATTATGGTTGTCCCTCCGTCCCAAATTATAAGTCGCTTTGACTTTTTGGTACATCGAATTTGCTATACATTTAGACTAGAAGATTAATTGAAGTGTGATGGTTTTTTTATGTTTGGTGCCTTGGTCAATCAAACTTGGATTAAAGGGCATAAGAGCATCTCCAAGAGTTTCCAAAACCCACTCTCAATCTTGATTTTTTGGCAAGATTGAAAAAAACTGCTCTCCAACAACTCCCAATTTTTCCGCACTTGGGAAAATCCACCTAATCGCACAGATAAATACGCACCCATATCCATTGGCCAATCCGAAGGTGGAAGGGCGTGCGTAAGAATAAAGAGTAGGATAGGGTTCCTGATGCAAATGTAGAAGATACAAAGAAAGTATAAAATTGGTTGCGGTGATTTAGAAATAGCTCGAGATTACTCATGCAAAATTACCATTTATCTTTTAGGAGCGAGATTTAGAAACGATTGGAGGAAGCAAACAAATATGCTCTCAACATTTTTTAGTCACTTGGAAAACTCATTAATTTACCAAGTGATTTTTTTTTAGAAACTGTTGGAGATGCTCTAAGCCATGGTAAAGTTGGGTCCAATTCAACTGTTAACTATAGAGAGTAGAAAGGAAAAGGGAAAAAAACCTAGATCACCTATAAATTCTTGCAGCAACTGAAATATTATCACCAACGAGTGAACTGGTACACAGAATTGCAAAGAGATGTACAACACATGAATTGTTTGATAACCTTCATCATTCCTCCTTCAGTAGTATCACTCAACAAGCTACACTCTTCCACAGTATAAAGTCAAGTGAATGCCTCGGGAGAGCCCAGCCCCACCCCAACCCTAGCGCCCCTGGCGGCGCCGGCACCCACCACCTCCCCGCATCCCTCCCCTCCCCTTCATGGATCCGGTCTCCCCTGCCCTCCTCCTCACCCGCGCGCCTTCCTAGAGCAGGAGGGCCTTTTTCCCGACCCACAGCCGCCGCCGCCCTTAGCCACCCCGCCCCACCACCAGCCCCTACCTAGATCCGATTCCACCTCCTCCTCCTCACCCGAAGGCCTTGCGTCGTCGTCAAGACAACAAGGCCGCCACCGCCACCGTTAGAGCATCGACGCTGGCTGGCCTTGGGCTTCCGACTTGGTACCGGCAGCCGTGGGGGCTGGTGCTGGCGCCCCGCTGCTGCCCGACCCTCCTCGCCCTCATGGATGCTCACTGGCCCAGGGAGCGCGTGCCTCGACCACCGCCCGGCGCTGCGGCGACGCCTCCTCGGCCGTGGGGGCAAGGAGTTGATCCCACCCGACCCCTTCGTCATCCTCCTCCACCACCGGCCTTTCAAATTTCTTCCAGATCCACCCCATCACCAGCCGCCCCTCCCCTTCAGCACCCAGATCCGCCCCCACCGTCGCTCGATCTACCCGTTGATGGGCGTCCCTCCAGCGCTCACCTAGGGGTCGGCGAGATCGAGGCCTCCGTCGCGCCACCGCCGGGCGGCTTCGGCTTGCTGGGTGGCGTACCAGTCGGCGCCAGCGCCAAATTTCCAATTTCTTGCGGTGGCCTTCCAGGCGCCTGTAGCGACCTCGCCAGCGACTGTTGGAGGGATGGTGGACGAGACGTTGGTCGTCGTCGAGGACGTCCTGGATGACGATGACGAGGACGAGGATACGGCTCGCTCGGGCAGGCCCTCGCCGTCCTCCCTCTCCGCGCATGCTCCCACGTTCTTCCCCGCCCGTCAGTTATCTGGCAGGAGTAAGTTCCGCCATTGGGAGGAAGACCTCGGTGCGGGTAGTTCCGACGACGAACTCACTTCTCTTGCCACGCACTCGTCGTACCTGGACGCTGCTCGCAAGGCTCTCCGAGCCACGCCTCCACCGCCGGTACCGCTCCGGACGCCGCGGCCAGGCGCAGCAGGGAGGAACCCATCCAAGTGCCGCCGAAGCGCGCGCCATCGGCGCAGATCACTGCGCCTAACGGCGATGGAACTCACCGTTGAACGTCGCCCGCGGTGTGCCAGCCGTCGCGCCGCTTTAGTTCGCAGCCCGGCGGCGAGAGTTCTGGTGCACCAGCTGACTTCGCCAATGCGTGTAGGGCGCCCGTGCGACACGCGCTTCAAAGAACCCCATCAAGGGCCCATCGTCGACGCCGATGGATTCCAGATTGTTCGAGTCGCTGCCGCCGCCGCCCATCCGAGATTATGGCACCCAAACGCCACCGCCCCGTCCCGCCGGAGCTTGTGGGTCTCTGCTTCAACTGCCTTGCGCACGACCATATCGCCGCTCAGTGTCGCTCCCCGTCCCGCTGCCTTGCTGCCGGGATACCGACGATCGGGCCAGGGCGTGCAAGCCTTCATCCTTGGTGGCGCGTCACCTAAGTCGGTGTGCCTTTAAGGAGTGTCGCCCTGCTGGTCCGAGGCGACCCAGCTTGTCGCCGGATTGTCGCGCCAAGACTGGTCGTGATCGGCCGCGATCGATCGTCTTCGTCGCCAAGCAAGCAAAGACTACAACAAAGAAATGACGGCATACCACCACCTCTGGGTGACAATTATAACCGTGCCAAGGTCAAGGTCTTCGTCGTCCAGAGGAACGTGGAGCTCGCCGCGTCTGGAGCGGACCTCTCCCTTGTTCTCGTCGCACTCGTTGGTGGAGACCAACCAGCCGTCACACCGAAGGAGTTCCAGGCACACCTTTCCTCGAGGTTCTGTGTGTCTGTGGGCGCGGCCGGGGTTTGTGCTTCGCTCGGGGGCCCCTTTGCACGCGAATGTCTGCAGGTCGGCCACTCTAGCATTGCTTTGCAGGAAGGCGAAATGCAGATACAAGCGGTGCACCCTAAGCCTAAGGTCGCAGTGGACCGTTGCTTGGAGGTTCAGCGTTGGGACTTCGATCCCATGCTGGTTGAGGTGGAGGCATGTCTGACCAAAAGGCCACCTCAGGTAGGTCTCACGAGCCAGGGCGTGTCGGAGGTGGCCCAGGCGGTGGACCTGTGCCTTTCAGGCCCAAACGAGTACGGCTCGGGCCAAACCTCACCAAGGCCCTCACTTTTGGAGCCGGAGCAGGCTGGGGGATCCCCACCCCCGGTCCAGGTCAACTTCCCCGCCAACCAGGAAAGTGCAGACGAAGGCGGCCCAGCCACAACGGCTGCTGACGGTAGTGCGTCTGACGCGATGGCCGCAGCATCGACTGAGGACTTCATCGCTACATTCAAGAAGCCGCTCACGATGCCTGTCTTGTCGTTGCCTCCACGACTGTGGCTAACCCGGGCGGCCAGAGCGCGAGCGGGGGAGCTGGACGACTCAGAGGAGCGCTAGGCTTGCCGCTAAGAGCAGGCACAGGGAACAGAAGCCGGAGGCTCAGGCGTGGAAGGTGATGATAAAACGTCTGGGGCTCAAGGTGGAGACCGAGCTACCAGACGAAGCCTCATTAGAGGAATTCCAGACCGCCTTCACCCTCCCCCTTTCGACGTCGACGCGGGAAGCCATGCAGGTCCTCTTCCCGGGCAGGAACCAGTGGGCCTAGACGTTCACTTTTGTCTTGCCGATTTGGTCGCAAAACACCTTTCCTATGTAATCTTTTCTAAGTGAATCCAGTAGCTAGGTGGTAAGGTGTGCATGGTATCACGAAGGCTCCTCACTTGCGTGCACCGATGTATTGTTAACTTTTTCCTCTTAATGAAAAACAGGTGAATGGCGCTATCACGAAAAAAAATTCCTCCTTCATTTACTTTCTTTTGTCCGAATCTTATATCAATACCATTCGTTCCCAACAGAAATAGTGCATCAACGACCACATCTAATAGTTATACGCACCTTCAACACATGGCTTGTAAACCTGCGCCGTCGCGCCCGCGTCAACGGACCCCGCAGTAGCACGGTCGCGCTTGCGCCCCCGCTCTTTGGCGACGTTTCTCCGTCGTAGCGCGTGCAGTGCAGCAAACCTCCCGACCCCGACCTTGGAGAAGACGGATCCGACCGTCCGCGCAGCCGAACCCTCCTTCCGCTTCCGCTTTTTTGACCCGCTCCGAGTGCCAGCCATCGGGCCTGTTTGGACATAAGTCAGCTTTTTTACATGTTTCTTAGCATAATAAGGAGCTGAAAAACCTAACCTGGGGTGTTTAGCATGCCTGTTTATGGCGGCGCCGGCGGAGAGGCGAACTCGGCGAGCTCGATGGCGCCGGTTGGGGTCGAGTACGGGTCGGCGGCGGTCACGCACGAGGGCAGCGCGGGTGGAGGCGGGCGGGCCAACGGGCGAGGGCGGCGCGGGTGGGGACAGGCTGTCGGGCGGAGGGAGACGACAGACGGAGAACCCGGAAAAACTCCCCACGCGACCTTCAGGGCTTTTGAGTTTGAGCCTGTGCAGTGCCCTGCTTGGGCTCTACTAGCCGAGCGGCTGGGCTGTGCAGCTGCAGCCCAAGCAGCTCTAGGAAGTAGAAGCGACCAGGGCCCAATCACTCCTGGGCCCTGGCCCTGGCCCTGCGCCCCTGCCTTTTTCTCCCTCCCGTTTTCCCCTCGTGCGCCTTCTCTCTCTGGCGACGACTGCGCGACCGCCGCCACCCTACCCAGTTCCTCAGACCTCAGGTCTTCGCCGGCGACGAGGACCACCAGGTATGACCACCCCTTCTCTTCGTGCTGTGCGAAACCGAGCACCCAAACCCTAACTTAAACTATTTGCCTCTTTGTATTCGGATCTGATCTAATTACAACTGTATACATGTATTTTGATGCTAAAACTTTGATTCTTTTTTTTTTTCTTTAAAAAAAAAATCGGGTGTACATGTGTACATCCATGTCCTTTCTTGAACCCGTCCCTGCTAATCTGTTTTTAGCTTGTCTCATTCAGCGCAACTTCAATCTACAAAAGGTGCGAGGAAACTTGTGTATCTATCCACACTTTTGTAGTTTTTTTAACTAGCACTCAGTGTTATTACTGAAAAAGTGACTGAATTTGTAGACATGCTACCTGAATTTGTTTATATGAACCCAATAAAAGCATTGTTTCCCTGAAAATTATTTTACAGCTCCTAATACGGCGAAATCAAGCAAATTCTTCAGCTGGAAGATTGGAGAAGTAGGATAAGAGCAAATGGCCAACAGTAACAGTTCGAGAAAGGGACGCAAGCAGAACAGGAAGACAAAGAAACTGAAGATTTCTAAGAAGTGTCCCCAGAAAGGTGCAAACTTTTCTTGTCTGACCACATATTCTGCATGTGTGGAACCTTTTATATCATACAAGGTTTTCGATCATATACCATATTAGATTTTATCTTTGAGAGAATTCCAGAGTGTCCTTATAATTCATATTGTATGTTTCGGAATCGAGTTAAAGGGTAAATGGTAATTCCATGCTGTTGCTCCATTTAGCATGGTCACGAAATGCTTTGTGCTTATTTCAGGCATGGTTGAATCCAAAAACCGCCAACCAGCACAAGAAAATACTAGGGGGCAAGAACCACAGCATGGTATGTACATTGCTTTCATCTTGGCAGATAAGTGCACTCATCATCGATGGGTTTGGAAATGCTGCATTGTGATATAGTCACTTTTTATTATGCTTCTTTTTATGTAGTCCATGGCTACATTGAGTCATCAATATCGGGTATACACTTGTAACGATAAAATACATAAAACCAAAAGAAAAAAAATGAACTAACAAAATCAACATGATGTGTAGTTGCATACTCGCTATCTGGATGGAATTTAGCCCAGATTTTTGTTTACATTGGTCTTCATTACATGTTCAGATGATGTTCTTTTTTTTACATGTGGCACATAATTCATTGTCATGTAACCTATACAGCGCACTTGAAGTAGAATTTGAGTCTGGTCAGAGTTTTGCATGGTTATACTTAGAATACTGCGAGATACAAAAACACCAGATACTGTTAGGTTCTTATCCATATATAATGAATGCAATTCTCATGTACCTTCCCATCAATGCAGCAATAGTTGTCTTACTTGTTTGGTGATTCTCCAGAAATAAACACATGACACAAGTGGCTGAGATTATATCAGAGTACTTCACGGAAGCTTTATTTTACATTTAATACTTTCAGAACTTATGGTTCAATTACTCAGTAACCTGGTCTGGCTAGGCCAAACTTGAAGAAACAATGCTCACAAATCATGTAGAAGTAAAATACAATTTAGAAAGACACTAAGATATCCTTCATATATATTAGACGAGTAAGAATATAATGTGCAATGCATTATTTAGTCATTATAGAACACAAGAAAAGCTGGAAGCAGACATCATGCTGCATAGTATCTGTAGTGCGTGTATTCCCAGTTTGAGAGAAAAAAAAAGTTGAGAATGTGAAGTGGGGATAGTGAACATATGCACTATACATATACAGGTTACATATGCTCTCTGAGTTAAATAGCACAACTTAAATCAACCAACCTGTTGTAGTTAGCTAGCGAGTTGGCGATGAGTCTTTACAAGTAATAATTGGAGCACTGTTAATTCCCTGCAACTGGAGGAGCAGCATTTCAAATCACTGTAGCTCAAAAATTCTGCTCTTTATTCGTTAGCATCTCACTTGCTTTTTCAAGTCCACATTAGGCAAACTTCAGATCTGCATTATAAGATTTAGCAATGCACCAAATATATATCTTGCATGGCTCACCAACATAAGTATCTTCCCTTTTTTTTTTTGTTGATTCAGCGCCTCAGTATCTAGGTTGGAAAGTTGGCATGAGCGCCGTGTTGCACTTCTGGAGGGATCCAGAGTGCGACTTCCGCTATATTTGTGGAGACAACCACGGGGAGTTTTTCTGCCCCTTCAACTATCTTTATGGGCTCCATGATCTCCGTACCTGCAAAGCGCGATGCCCTCCAGGGAAACACCTGGTGGTTTCTACGAGACACCGTCAGTTCCTGCAGTGTTTTGTCCGTGTGAGTAACTTGCCGCCAAATTTCAGGCAGTGGCACCTTGGTAATCTTTGCCGTGCGTTTGGACCGATGCGGATGTGGCACGTCCCGATGCTCAACAGTGAAATTTGCAGGGGGGTTGGCTTTGCCGTCTTTAATAATCGAGAGCATGCTGAGGCTGCCATCGAGAGGCTGAACGGTGAATGTTTCGGCGGATACAGTGTGCGAGTCGACTGGGCTCGTCGACTGGGCTTATCCTTGTATCTAATTTAACGATGGTCTTAAAATGAACCCTGTTCGGCTTGGTGAATCTTGGCTGAAATTGGCTAAAAAACACTGTTCTGACTGAAATGTTGTAAGAGAAAAATAATGTTCTGGTTGAAAAAAGAAACCGAACAGCCGGATATAGGGTAAACTGAACGGGCCTTTATCTCATCTTTTGGCTTGTTGGTAATTTTCAAACCGTGATGATAGGTACTGTGCAGTCTGTTCTTCTGGGAGACTTTGACCCTTTTTATTTTAAGATATAAATATGAGTTTATTTCATGGAGCCGATGTAAAACATATGGAACAATGATATGTGGATCCTTATATATGGGAAAGTTTCCGTGTGCCCTGGGAGCAATGGCTGCTTATACGGACCACGCAGATTCCGATGTGTAGCTGCTCGCTTCTTCGGCAACGGAGCGCGTCCATCAGATTTGGGAAAAAAGTCCATATTATCTCCTTCAACTTCCGTGAAAGTATGTTTTAACTCCATAAACTCTAAAACTGGGTAAACTATCTCCCTGAACTTTTAAAACTGTTGTTTTACCTTACGGTTATAAGCGGTTTTTAAAGGTGGTTTGTCTTTTTCTTTCATATTTATTTCGTCTGAATTGTTGAAAAATCATAGTAAATCACAGAAAAAATCATAAAATAAAAAAATCAAATTTTGTTGAACTCCACATGATTTGATCTACACAGTGAGCATATAATATGGTATGTTTTAGTATAAATTTTTTACTGTAGCGATAGATCTATGTTTTTCTGTAATGAATTCATAGCCACAGTTTCTACGGTCCAATTGTGGTGAAATTTTTTTAGTGGACTAATTATTGTATGCTTGAACTGTAGTAAAATTTTCATTCTCATTGGATCATATATAACTTAGTTATAGATTTAAGCATACACCTAAATAAATCTGTTTCTTATGACCTAAAAATGTTTTTTATGACAAAGCAGGGCAAAAAAAGATCATATGCATACACCCTTGTCACCTTGTGTGTGTTTGCCTTGTAGAAATTTCAAAGGAATCACGAAATAATTGATTTAACACTCTATATGGGGCTCCTAAATTAATTACATACAGTCCAAAACATTGTAACAAAACATAGCATGAGAAAATAGGGGAGAAAGTTTCCAGGTTAACGGATCCAATTCATAGCACTTTGACTCTTACAACACATAGACAATACTATACCTTCAAAAATAATGGATATCATCAAAACTTGATTTCGGTATCCGGCGAGCCACGCTAGGTTCAGGTCGGGCTAAGAAAAAGCCTGGCTATTTTGGGCCAAAAAGGTCTCTGTCCATGACCATCCCACTAGACGAGTTGGCCAGCCCCCGGCCTAAGCAAAGTTTAAAATAGCGGGCTATAGCTGCGGAAGAGGCTCGACGCTAAGCTATTCGTATTTCTGCCGCTACGACAATTTTCACCGCTATTTACAGCTATAGCGCTGCTAAGTTGCGTAGCTTATCGTTTTAAATAGGGGCGCTATTCCAACGGCCCATATAAGTGAAAACCTAGCAGCCTGCTAAGCCCACTGAAGCCCAAAACCAATGGAACCCTAAATTCTAAATAGCACGCACAGCACCAGTGAGCAGTCAGCCAGTCACAGTGTCTCCCACACACACTTCGACTCCCTTTTCTCGTTGCTGGGCGGCGGCGGCTGCTGGAGACCTGGGCGGCGGCGCCGGCTGGGCAGCTGGGTGGCGGCGCCTGCTGGTGACCTGGGCGGCGGCAGGCTGCGCGGGCTACGGCGGCTACCTGTGAGGAACGACGGAACAAGCTGAGCTGCAAGCGTGCGACTGCAAAGGGATCCCTCGCAAGTTCTCAATATGTCCCAGTCTCAACAAGGTTAGTTTGTGATCCCTCTCCCTCGATCTGTAGATTGCTGCAT